TGTACAGAACAAAGAGACCATACTGAAAGCTGCAAAAGAAAAACAACAAGTCACATATAAAGGAAAACCCATTAGGATTACAGCTGACATTTCAGTGCAAACTATGAAAGCCAGAAGAGCCTGGACCAAAGTATTCCCAGTTCTAAATGACCACAGAGGCCAACCCAGATTACTATATCCAGCCAAAATGTCTATTACAGTTGAAGAGGAAAGAAAAATCTGCCAGGACATAAATAGGCTGAAAGGATTCATGTCCACAAAACCAGTCCTTCAGAGAGTTCTGGAAGCAATACAAAGAGCTAAAGAAAGGAACGACTATACCCAAGGGGTTATGGAAAGAAATTAAATGAAGATATAATTGTGGAAATGCACAGCTATATCAAGAATGTGAATAGAAATAAAAATGACAGTATTCAACACACATCTTTCATTAATAACTTTAAATACTGATGGACTGAACTCTCCAGTCAAAACACACAGACTAATTGAGTGGATTAAGAAACCAAACCTGGGGCTGGAAAGATGGGTCAGCAGTTAAGAGCACTGACTTCTCTTGCAGAGGACCTGGGTTCAATTTCCAGCACCTACATGGCGGCTATGAACCGTCCTTAATTCCAGTTCCAGGGGAATCCGAAGCCCTCTTCTGACCTCTGCAGCATTGCATGACATAGGTACACTCACATACATGCCGGCAATAAAGTCATATGCATAAAATAAAAATAATAAAATATTTTTTTAAAAAAGAAACAAAACCCATCTTTTTGTTGTCTGCAAGAAACTCATCTCACTTTCAAGGACAGGCATTACCTTAAGGTGAAAGGATGGAAAAAATTTACCAAGCGAATGGTACTAAGAAAAAAGCAGACATTTCAGTTCTAATATCTGATAAAATGGACTTTAAACTAAACCTGATCAGAAGAGATAAAGAGGGCCACTTCATTCAGATCAAAGGAACAATAGACCAAGAAGATATTACAATCATGAACATATATTCACCAAACTCTGGTGCACCCAACTTCATAAAAGCAGTACTACAGGACTTTAAGACCCAGATTAATCCCAACTCATTAATAGTAGGGGACTTCAATACCCCATTTTCTCCATTAGGTAGGTCAGCAGGATGGAGAATTATCAGAGAGACATCTGAATTAAACAATACCATATATCAAATGGACCTAACAGACATCTACTGAATATTCCACCCACGCACCAAAGAATATACTTTCTATTGAGCACCCCATGGAACTTTCTCCAAAATCAACCATATACTAGGTCATGAAACAAACTTCAACAAATAGAGAAAGATTGAAATGATTCCATGCATTTTATCAGACCACAATGCAATAAAGCTTAAAATTAACACAGGAAGAAACCCTAGTAACTACATGAACACATGGAGATTAAACAACACACTCCTGAATGATGAATGGGTCAAAGGAGAAATTAAGAAAGAAATAAAAGTATTCCTGGTACTAAATGAATAGGACAATACAACACAACAAAACCTCTGGGACACGTTGAAAGCTGTCCTTAGAGGGAAGTTTATAGCTCTAAGTG